ATGCAAGACCTATCATTGCCATAACCTGCAGCAAGGGAGGAAAAGAGAGAGAGAAAAAAAAAAGAATTTCGAATTACACGCACTCTGCAATGGAAAACATTGAAAAAGAAAAAGAAAAAAAAAAGCATTGCGATCAACTGTGATTTGCTGATATCCCATCAAATTCATCTTGGATGTTGCAATGTCTCTGTCGGTCGTTTTGTGCACTAGTTTGATATGCTCTTAAATTCGAATACATTTTAGCCCATTCATTTTAACGGAGTATCGTTCATTTAACTTGCTAAACCAGGGAACACATTTCACCCGCGAACAGAAGCATAATCTGCCATTCATACAGCACAAAGTGAATGGATTCCCAGATATAAAAGAAATATTACCTTTGTGCATACATATTGTGTGTATGTGTGTGTGTATGTGTATGTATATGTATATGTATATGTATATATATATATATATATATATATATATATATATATATATATATATATATATATATATATATATATATACATATATATATATATATATATATATATATATATATATATATATATATATATATATATATATATACGTGTGTGTGTGTGTGTGTGTGTGTGTGTGTGTGTGTGTGTGTGTGTGTCTGTGTGTGTGTGTGTGTGTGTGTGTATAAAAAATGTACATGATATAAATGAATGCAGTATAAGTACATATGGGTGCTCACATGCTGTATCAGTATGTATCTACACACACACGCATATATATATATATATATATATATATATATATATATATATATATATATATATATATATGTATGTATGTATGTATGTATGTATTTATATATGTATATATATATATATATATATATGTATGTATGTATGTATGTATGTATGTATGTATGTATGTATGTATGTATGTATGTATGTATGTATGTATGTATGTATGTATGTATGTATGTATGTATGTATGTATGTATGTATGTATGTATGTATGTATGTATGTATGTATGTATGTATGTATGTATGTATGTATGTATGTATGTATGTATGTATGTATGTATGTATGTATGTATGTATGTATGTATGTATGTATGTATGTATGTATGTATGTATGTATGTATGTATGTATGTATGTATGTATGTATGTATGTATGTATGTATGTATGTATGTATGTATGTATGTATGTATGTATGTATGTATGTATGTATGTATGTATGTATGTATGTATGTATGTATGTATGTATGTATGTATGTATGTATGTATGTATGTATGTATGTATGTATGTATGTATGTATGTATGTATGTATGTATGTATGTATGTATGTATGTATGTATGTATGTATGTATGTATGTATGTATGTATGTATGTATGTATGTATGTATGTATGTATGTATGTATGTATGTATGTATGTATGTATGTATGTATGTATGTATGTATGTATGTATGTATGTATGTATGTATGTATGTATGTATGTATGTATGTATGTATGTATGTATGTATGTATGTATGTATGTATGTATGTATGTATGTATGTATGTATGTATGTATGTATGTATGTATGTATGTATGTATGTATGTATGTATGTATGTATGTATGTATGTATGTATGTATGTATGTATGTATGTATGTATGTATGTATGTATGTATGTATGTATGTATGTATGTATGTATGTATGTATGTATGTATGTATGTATGTATGTATGTATGTATGTATGTATGTATGTATGTATGTATGTATGTATGTATGTATGTATGTATGTATGTATGTATGTATGTATGTATGTATGTATGTATGTATGTATGTATGTATGTATGTATGTATGTATGTATGTATGTATGTATGTATGTATGTATGTATGTATGTATGTATGTATGTATGTATGTATGTATGTATGTATGTATGTATGTATGTATGTATGTATGTATGTATGTATGTATGTATGTATGTATGTATGTATGTATGTATGTATGTATGTATGTATGTATGTATGTATGTATGTATGTATGTATGTATGTATGTATGTATGTATGTATGTATGTATGTATGTATGTATGTATGTATGTATGTATGTATGTATGTATGTATGTATGTATGTATGTATGTATGTATGTATGTATGTATGTATGTATGTATGTATGTATGTATGTATGTATGTATGTATGTATGTATGTATGTATGTATGTATGTATGTATGTATGTATGTATGTATGTATGTATGTATGTATGTATGTATGTATGTATGTATGTATGTATGTATGTATGTATGTATGTATGTATGTATGTATGTATGTATGTATGTATGTATGTATGTATGTATGTATGTATGTATGTATGTATGTATGTATGTATGTATGTATGTATGTATGTATGTATGTATGTATGTATGTATGTATGTATGTATGTATGTATGTATGTATGTATGTATGTATGTATGTATGTATGTATGTATGTATGTATGTATGTATGTATGTATGTATGTATGTATGTATGTATGTATGTATGTATGTATGTATGTATGTATGTATGTATGTATGTATGTATGTATGTATGTATGTATGTATGTATGTATGTATGTATGTATGTATGTATGTATGTATGTATGTATGTATGTATGTATGTATGTATGTATGTATGTATGTATGTATGTATGTATGTATGTATGTATGTATGTATGTATGTATGTATGTATGTATGTATGTATGTATGTATGTATGTATGTATGTATGTATGTATGTATGTATGTATGTATGTATGTATGTATGTATGTATGTATGTATGTATGTATGTATGTATGTATGTATGTATGACCCTATGGCGAAAGGAACTGGAAAATGGAGGGAGGGTTAGGTGCTTCGCGCAGCTGGAACTTTGTCTATTTGTTCTGCTGATGTGGCGGGGTTTATCTGGCCTGTTTATCAAAAAAATGTAGCTTTTTTCTTCTTTCTTTTTTGAGGGGGGGGTGCGGTATGGAAAACATTTCAGTCCGTTTTTTTCCTCTGAAAGGATATAGTAAACATCTTTCCTGTCATAAGGAATCTTAAATAATTGATATGCGATATGGAAGACATTTCAGTTTTAGTTTCACAACTATTTTTTTCTTTCTTTCCTTATTTCTTATAATACAGTAACGTTCCTCCTATAAAAAAAACACCCTTTTGAATAAACGTTTTCACAAATGGGAGAAGGAAGACTGACTTTTATCTAGTTTTCCTAACTATTTCTCTATGATATAGTAGTAGCGTTTCGACTCTCAGAAAGACTCTCATATATAAACGTTTTCCGGTGGAGTGTTTATATTTCCATCCCGTTATAAGTGAAGAGCAAAATTCATAGATCTCTAGTATAACCGATGTAAACACACCCTCAGCTTTATTAACTCCTTCCCTCACTATGTACACAATTATACGAGTGGAAAATATACGTCAGAGATCAGAGAGTACACCCTGAGACTCCCTTCAACCATACACTCTTTGCCTGCATTGCTAAGTTCACTGAACAAACACAAAACATAAACACGTGAGGCAGAAAATCGAAATGTTAAGGTCGAACGAGAAACAAAGGAATGGAGTTTCACGGGACGTTCGTATGAACAAACGAATGTAGAAGCGAGCTATTTTTGGGGTCGATGCGGCTCCGTTTAGAAAATACCACGCCATCAAAAAACATCAGAATAATTAACATTGATTCCTTTTTTTTGTAAAAGCTTTTAAAGGTCTTATTTAGCTCATGAATTTGCGGCTTAACTCAAATCGCGTTATAAATCTACGGTTTTATGCTTTAATTTGCTCGAATTAGTAAATTATATTTTCACGTTTTTATTTCAGATGCGCTATTCGACAGCCTCTAATATTCGTGTGTACATGTGTGTGTGTGTGTACTGTGTGTGTGTACGTGTGTGTGTGTATGTGTGTGTGTGTATGTGTGTGTGTACGTGTGTGTGTGTGTGTGTGTGTGTGTGTGTGTGTGTGTGTGTGTGTGTGTGTGTGTGTGTGCGTGTGTGTGTGTGTGTGTGTGTGTGTGTGTGTGTGTGTGTGTGTATGCGTGTGTGTGTGCGTGTGTGAGTATGTCAAAATCTGTATCTGTGCATATTTTCGCCAGTGTTTTACATGAACGACTTCCCGGCTCTCGCGCAAACTGCACACACATAAACCCGCCTCTACCCTCTCCCCGACGATCTCTTTGTCTTCCTCGTCCTCCTCGTCCCCCTCCCCCTCTCCCTCTCCCCCTCCCCCCCCCCCCCTCCTCCTCCTCCTCCTCCTCCTCCTCCTCCTCCTCCTCCTCCTCCTCCTCCTCCTCTTCTTCCTCCTCCTCCTCGTCGTCGTCATCGTCACAGAATAAAGTCGACCTCTCATCCCCTCGCCGCTCACGTCTTTCCCTAACGACCGTGAATTCTCGCAGAAAATCGCGCCGTCTGCTTGCTCCTTCCGAGGTGGGGGGGCGTAGGGGGAGTGGGGGGTAGGGTGGGGGGGGAGGAGGGGTGTTGATCATCAGAGGCGTAATTAAGATGCTGAATCATGCACGCAAGAACCCGTAAACACAACCAACCTTGTGAGCAACACCTGACACTTATGGTAAAGATTTTCGAAGAGTACTCATCCCCCCCCCCGTGAATTCGAACGGATCCTCGTGATGATTAAATTAAAAAAAAAGAAAAATGCCGTGCAAGACAAGTCGGCGAGAGCGTGCAATCATGAATCGTGCATTCATTTGAGAGACTTTGATCTTTTATTTCCCATCGCTTTTGTTATAATTTTGTTCGTTACGTTTAATCCCAACTAGTTGTTTGATAATAGATAGATATAAGAATAACAGGAAGCATAGATTAAAGATAATAAAAAAATATATACATATAACTACATCATCAAAGATATAATTATATATATAAAAAAAAACTCCGAAGCATAAAAACAAGGGCCCCGAATAATGTCATGTCAGTGAATATTTTTACCGCAATTTCCTCCTACTTTGCATATTCCCCTGTTCATCAGCACGGCGCGAGGACCTGACTCAC